TTCAGTAGTACCTTTCTCTTTCTAAGGTCTGATGCATGATTTTAAGATGGCAAACTGCCTGTTTAAAATGGGAGATGCTTTGGAAGGAATGAACTTCCAAATCATTTGCAGACAGAAGCATCTGGTGGGGGCCCCCCAAAAGATCTTTTTATACGATTTTATACATTTTTTTTTTCTCATATTGTTCCATCTGCTTCTTTGTTGTGGTCTCTGGAAAGCCACCAAAGATTGAATGCAGTCTTTAGCAAAACAATCATAGGAAATTATTGGTGAAAGTGGAAGACTCCAATTATTATTGGAGAATTACCTGTTAGAAAAGGTTTGCTTTTCTTTCAGATTTTCCCAATCTAAATTTATACTGCCCCAGGAGGCACAATTAAGACATGATATAGATGTTTTTTAAAATACTTACTAGTACTACTACTACGACTAATAATAATAATAATAATAATGTTGGATTAATAGAATCAGGTGGCAATTCATTTCTAGAAAATTGCAAGGGAGAAAGGAAAAGCAAACTCAGTCTTGCCTAAGTCCTGTTTAAAGTTTGTGAAATTATGAAATGGGCTTTCTGAGTGTTTTGGTCTTCAGACATTCCTATGGGAATTTTGCTTTTACATTCCTCTCGTCCTACAAATCACCTGGTGATGTAGATAACCCGCAATGCAGTTTCTTAAAGAATAATCATTTTAATTTATTTTTTTAATTTTTAATTTAATTTTTATGATAGCTAGAAATGCAGTGGATACTATTTCTTTCTTCCACAGATATCTGTTGCTGGAAACTTGGCATCTTCTGTTTTGCCCGGTTTGAAAGAAAATACCGAGTACAAGATATCCATTTGGGCATATTACAAAGATGGGGCTCGAAGTGATACCGTATCTGTTTGGCACAGAATCTGTAAGTGGGCAGAGATATACAGTGACTGTAATCTAAAGCAGGGTTCCTCAACCTTGATGACTTGAAGATGTGTGGACTTCAACTCCCAGAATTCCCCAGCCAACCATGCTGGCTGGGGA